ACTACAGCAGTAGTGAAGATGAGGGAAGTGACAACGAGGAAGAAGATGAGGATGGAAAGACCATTCGTAATGCTAATGTGGCTGAGCCTGAGATAGACTACAGTGCAGATGGAACATCTGTAAACACAGGTCACATGATTTACATTTTGCTTATATGTCTCAAATTTAAAGGACCCATATTACGCTTACTGATCTATATTATTATATATATTTGGATTTGTGTTTTGTTTCATTTGCACATGTTTAACACACAAATCCTGCATATTTAGACTGACTTCTTCTCCCAAACAGACCTTATGATGTGTGAATACAAGTGCTCTACTGTGTTTTTAATCTCCATACGCTTTCACTAGAATGATTTGGATAATTTCAGGCCTGAAATCTCTGCTGAACAAAAGGTAAAAGGAAGCTATTAATTTGAGAACTACCACTAGATGACATCATAAGGTGGAACAGAGCATTTGAGCTTTGGAGATGTAGACAGACTAATAAGGTAGGATTAGTCAAACGTGTGAATGAAACAAAACACAACTCCAGGTTTTGATCAGGTAACAACATTATAAAATATAACATATAATCACTTCTGAAAACACACTTTTACCTGTTGGCCTTCCTTTAACAGGTTTTAGCTTGATTTTATTCCTTATTTCTTTTTATTTATTCATTATAATTAAATGGATTGTTTGTATCATTGTTTGTTTTTGCTTTCTGTATGCTATTTTTTATGCTTTGTATTGTTCATTGCTGGTTGTACAGCACTTTGTAAACCTTGTTTTTAAAAGTGCTTCATAAATAAAGATTTATTATTTATTTATTATGGTTTAAAGCTCACAAAAATTCATTTTGCATAATATAGAACCTTTATGGGATTTTCAGTGAACTTTTTTCTTTTTTCACAGGACCAAAGGGTGTGATCAATGATTGGAGGAAGTACAAGCAGCTTGAGGTGGAGCAGAAACAAGAACAGAAAAAAGAAATGGAGAGATTAATCAAAAAACTATCTATGACTTGCCGCTCAGACCTAGATCAAGAAAAAGACAAAGAGAAACAAAAGGATATACAAGACAAGATCAAAGGCAAGGTAATGTATTGCTATTCACTGAATAAAATATATAATTTATAACTTGTATAAAAATGGTATGTGAATGGTAATTGAATGTGACTCACATTTCAGATGACTATGCAAGAGTATAACATGCTCCAGGAAGAGCAGGATGATGAAGACTTCCTTCAGCGGTACCGCATGCAGCGCATTGAAGAGATGCGTCGACAGTTTTGTCGAGGGAAGCGCTTTGCACAAGTCTATGAGCTCAGTAATGGAGAGGAGTTCTTAGAGGCTTTGGACAAAGAGGACAAAAGCACTCTTGTTATGATCCACATTTATGAAGCAGATGTCCCAGGGTGCGAGGCCATGAGTGGCAGCCTCATCTGTCTGGCTCAGGAATACCCACTGGTCAAATTCTGTAGTGTCCGCAGCTCAGCCATCAGCACCAGTGCGATGTTCAGGGACAGCGCTCTTCCTGCCCTGCTTGTTTACAAAGCAGGGGACCTCATTGGCAACTTTGTACGTCTCACAGACCAGCTTGGGGAAGACTTCTTTGCTGTGGACTTGGAGGCTCTATTGCAAGAGTATGGCTTACTACCAGAAAAGCCACCTACTGTCTCAACAATTCGTAATGGGGCTATTGTACAGACCGTTCAGAGTGATGATGACTCTGACCTTGATATAGATTAGATTTTTAAATGGGGAAGGAGCAATACATCCTCTGTACATACACTGTCTGCATGGTGTGTTGATTTGTTCTGTCTGTAAAATATATAATTACAGATACAATAACTGCACTTAACTTAGAGGCAGGTTTCTAAGGTAGTTGTGTGCATTTTTTATTTAAACTGACAAGGTAAATGCTTATATTTGAAATATGGTTGCCATTCTCTAGTTACTTAAATACTACTACTTGTAGAGGATAAATTATAAACATCAATTGTATGTGTTATTTTTAACATTATTTGTAATGTGTTGTAATTTGTAAATAAAAAAAGATTAAGCTTTTGAATACTGTGGTTTGATCTGTGAACTGTGCTGTTGCACTAAGTGCTTAGTTTCCAGTTCAGTAAATTCTCCACTAATTTGATTGGTCTAGAGCAAACCAATAATGGCATTAACACTGACAGCTCTGGGCTTGGTGAAGCTGAAGTTGAGTACAATCACCTATAAATAATTACGTTTTTTACACAAAATTGTATAAAATGATTTATTTAACTAGAGTTAGCCGAAGCTGTGTGTGAATAACAGCATTAGAGAGGGCATTGCAAAAAGAAAGACATGACATTTAGTGAGAGATGCAGCAGAGCCATGCAAGTCATGTCCACAAAAAGCCTGCTCCAACAGGAGATGGGTTTCTGCGCTGATCCCTGCCAATAACACAAATGTAATCTTTATATACTTTTTTATTTTAATGAATCCTATTAAATTTACTCACCATGTTGAGACCATTCATCCCACAAATGATCAGTGTTTTCATTGTGTACCATTTCGTTTTCATGGTGTCCAGGGTCTGCATGCAACACAAATGCTAAAGTCATGTACAAGATATATTAACGTCTTCAGTTATGATATTTTCTGCTAATAAAACTGATAAAACATCCAAACAAGATGGGGGATAAATTTAATGAATCAGTCTAGATCTAACTCAAATGTGAAGGATACCGTTGGAGTGATGAATAAGCATCCATTTTAGTTCCTTGAGAGCTTGAGTGAGATTCTCCAGCTGATCGTGAAGATGGATGTTCTCTTCTATCAGTTTATGAATAGTGTCTTGTAGTTCAAATGTCCTACTTTGCTGGACCAGCAGACATGCAAAAAACAGACTGAGCAACCCCATCACAAAAACAAATCAAATTTGATCTCTGAGAAGGTTGAGAGGAGGCTCTAACTATTTGTTCTGCTTCCAAAGCTGGAAAGTTGCCTGTGGCCTTCTCTAAAATCAATCTCATGTTTCTGCATCAGTGGTCACAGTGACAACACAACCATAAATTTGTACACTGTGTAATGTATTTCTCTGAACACAAATTGAAAACATGGAAAACCTACAACCTACTTTTAGGTTTATATCACTTGCTTTGTAGTATGAAGGCCTGCTCCCAATATGACATAGGGGCTTAGTATGGGATATCTCCCCTCCTTTACCAGGGCATCACTGAGCTTCAGCCTGCTGTACCAGAAAAAGCTAAAAGTGTTAGAGGTATGTTATATTGAACCAAACTTAACTTCTTATGTTGTAGTACTCTTTAAATGTTTACACAGATTATGCTATAAAATATGCAGAAAGTTGTTCAAAAATATGGAACATGAAACACACATTTACATGTTTTTCAGACCCTGCTCCAGGCACAAGATTAGACATTTACTGCAGAGTCCTTCCAGTTTTTTCTGTCGTTATGAGATGATGCACCTGTGGGTTGTGTTCACAATAGTTTTTACAAATTGTGCACTACAAATAATAGTGCCCTACAACTAATGACATTACCGTAGAAGGAGGCGCTTATGTAACTCAATAGGCAATTCTCTTAATTAGGTCTTAATGCTAAACTTTCTATTTTCCCAAACATTGCTCCTTCAGATTTTAGTTTTCCCAGTTTTGTGTTGTATCCATTGAAAATACATTTTTGAGGAAGGGCATTATTTATGCTATATTTGGCCCGAGCCAGTAACGAAGTAACTGGCGAGGGCTATTGTTCTTCGTCGGTTTCTTCTTATTATTATTTTTTTTATTCTTTTTCCCCACATTGAATCGCATTTTTGACCCCCTGAACGTCGACGAAAAGTCCCCAAACCGGGTATCAGATCGATCGGCCCGGTAAAAAATTTGATAAAATGGGCATCGCGACAATGCCCAAAGCCCCCCCGCTCAACAGCGCCCCCTTGAAAATGCACATTTTGAAATGAATGGGAGTCTGAGAGGCAAATTTTGTCGTACGGTCACGAAATTCGTAACAGTGATAGAACTCAAGGAGACAAGCGAAAAAGCCAATCATTGTGCACCCCTATGACGAACAGGAAGTCGGCCATATTGGATCAAAGATTCGCCACCGTTTTGACTTGGGTGTCTACAAAAAGATTCAAGTCCCCGGGGTTTGGTCCAAATGAGCTCAAATTTGACATGTCATCTACAGACATGAACTCACAGAAGTTGCCACATTTTTTTGGGATACTCCTTACGGTTTGCCCGTAGCACGCCGGCGAAAAACCTTCATTTCCTGTTTTTTCGGTGACCTGTCACGGCCACAGACATTGTCCTAGAGAACTCAAATTCAAATCACAATTGTGTGATCCAGCCTTGAATGTAATGAAATATGACATTTAATAAAAGTGAACTCTATAGCGCCCCCTAGCATAGACGTGAAACGCCAACATTATCGGATTTGTACCAAATTCGGGGATTTAATTCGATGCATGATTACAAGCAAAAAAGTCTATTATGGACATGATGCATTTTCCACGTTTGAGCCAGTAGGGGCGCAAACACCCCCCCCCCAAAAATAGTTACAACATGAATGCAGCGACAGGCTTAGTCTGATCGTGCTGACATTTGAATAAGAAATGCATGTTCACGGCCTGAATATAATATATTATAAAACATATGAAAAGTGAACTCTATAGCGCCCCCTACCATAGACATGACATGTCAACATTATTGGCTTTGTACCAAATTCAGGGAAGAAGTTCTATGCATGATTATGAGCACAAATATATATAACGAACATGGTGCATTTTCCGCTGTTGGCCAGCAGGGGCGCAATGACTCCTAAAAATATTTAAATGCGCATTATGGGATGTGTCTAATGGACGAGCTGTTGGCCTGGACGGATGTCGGGAAGAGACGGTGACGTGCTGGGGCGGTCGCGAGTCAGTGGAGGTCGCGTCCTTCCTTTCCACTTGGTTTTTAATTGAACCAAACACCATGACCCTAACATCTATGGTTCCAATAACTACAACCAAAACCAGCTCCTGCAGCAGCCGCTGCAGCTCTGTAAGTGAATTCTGTGGAAGGTCTGAGCCATCAAGAGGCATGACCTGTCCATATTCTGAGAATGAGAAAGACATTTCTGTGCTCTAGAATTGGCAACAAATATTCACGATTGTAGTTCCTTTTGTAAACCACAAGAAACAAAATAAGACAAGCATTATGCCCATATTTTTTTGTAAAAAGATAACATTTTGACATTGTAACTTTAGTACCCATTTTCTTGATGCACTAATTTTCAGTACAAATGCCCAAGACAAGAGTTGAATTTATTCCCAATGTTTATTTCAGGTTTACTGACACATTTATGCGGTCTTGGCAGCCCTGGTGCGCTTCTTTTTGACAACAACTGGCTTCTGACTTTTCAGAATAGCACTGGCACATCGCAGAGCAGCCTGTAAATACAAGACACATTACACAACGCTGCAATCTCACTTGATTAACAGTACTTCCAGTTACCAGAACATACCATGCGCAGATCTTTCCTGTATTTGCTTTTGCGAATGATGTGCCTCAGGCTGCTGAGAGTTGCACGGGAGTTCTTGTTGATTGTGATCTTCTCATAGGAGCTGGCAGGTTTATGCTGACCTAAAAGAAAAATAATGTTGCATTAAAACCACACTTCAAGTGTCAAGCATAACAGTAATACTGAACTAAAAGAATCTATGCCATAACACTGTGCTGTCAAGAGACAAACAAATTAACTACTCTTCATTATGTCTCAGTATCTCTATAAATACTATAAAAACCCAAACTAAAAGTACACATACACACAATAAAGACATCTCCACACACACTGCAGACGTACCTGCACGCTTCTTCAACACAACAACAACACCTTTGCCATCAGGTGCAGGCTGTACACCAACAGTTTTCTTGTGCACCAACCCATTAAAGCGGAAGGAGTTCCTGGACTTCAGGTTGTTAGGCTCCTGTAAAAAAAAATATAGTTCTCAACTACACGTATGGACTTGCTCAGCGCATCAGTTAGCTTGTGCCCTTACAGTGCTGTAGGTCTGTCCATTCCTCTTAATGAGGAAACTGGAGCAGTTTCTAATGACCATCCACTGCAAGTGGGACGACATGCTGTATCTACAATAAAGAACAATGTTCAATTACCAACTATATCAACAAAGTACAATATGTCCAGAATGTGAGTACATTTTTTCAGCTAAGATAACTCGAAGTTTAGTGAATGAGAGTTGAGTTAGCTTATTAGCTTCAGTTCATTAGGGCTACACGGCGCGGCCTGCAAAGCCAATGTTTATACTGAATATTTCTACGCTATATTCAGAGACATCTACTCTAATATGAGATTTATTAGACATACAAGGACACCGTCAATATAAAATAAAAACGTTCATTAGATTAAAATAAGATAAAAAAAACTACTTTTACATTGCTCTCCAAGCAAACGAGACGACCACGTTACCTTGAAGCGGAGGAAAGGAAAGAAGAGACCGGAAACCGCTTTACGAAACCAATGTTGAGGATCCTTCCGCGCCATAAAATACATTTTAAAACTTTTTTGTTAAAAGGAAAACAACGGAGTACAGTTTTGTGCTCCAAGAAATATTTATATTAGTGGGTGATGGTTTATTACGGGTACGCAAAGACTACCCAAATAGTTTATTACCTTACAGCACTGTATCTTCCAGCGGAAAAATACAAATTGCCAAACTACAGCCTACGTCATTCTTGTGCGCCTTTTGTTTATGTCATAACATCATCGTCAGATATTTGCATAATACTAAGCTTTTTCCTCTTTGGGAGAATTTTAGTTGACAGTTTGCGTGCAGTCCTCATATTTAACATGTCACTGTCAAGATGGTAGCAGGTAAGGATAATAGGAATTGGAATAAAGGTGAACACTTAGATGTTTTTTTGCGATTCTTATTTCATTTTATAGTCTTGGTGGCTGCCTTTCTTGAACAATGAATGACGAGGAAAATGTGGAAAAACTTGGTGAAGAGCTGTACAGTCGAATTTATAAACAACACAAAGACACTGCAGGGAAACTGACTGGTAAGGCTTTTTGCTGGGAATATTGGCTTTTTCCATCACTGTCTGTTGTATAAATACATATTTATTATATTGTAGGCATGTTATTGGAACTACCTTTTGCGGTCTTGGTTCAGTTGCTCCAGGATGAAGCTATGCTGACTGCTGCAGTAGACAAGGCTTTCAAAGCCCTCCAGGAGGCAACCAAACCTAGGTGTTGTAAAAGATAAATTATTCTTGCCAGCACATTTGAAATTTACTCTGAACTGTGTACTGTAGCCAAATAAAACTCATTGTTGAAGATGATCTCTCTACATCCTCTGATTCGCTGGGAGAACAACTTTTTGAGTTGGTGGAGCTTTACAACACAGGCTACTCACAGAAAATCACAGGTACACATCAACATCACAACATCAGTTAGTGTTTTTTCCTCTTGGTGTCATTTGACCTTTTCTTTCTTTGGTACAGGGATGCTTTTGGAGCAGCAAAAAGATGTAGTGGTAAGCCTCCTTTCAAATCCATCACTGCTTGAAGAGCAAGTGAACCAAGCTCTTGAGACACTAAAAAAGTAAGTTCAAATTTATATTTTCAGATGGTCACCATTAAAATGAACTTTACTTGCATCTTCTTTGTTCTCAGAGAAACAGTCAGAGGTCTCAATGACTCTTTAGATGTTGAGGACCCGGAGGAGTTTGGCGAGAGACTCTATTCCGCTGTACAAAAGATAAATCAAGATCATGCAAATGACATAACAGGTGAGTGCATGGGTGCACTGTATAACCCATCATTAATTATTTGTACTGATCTTCAAGACTTAATGGAAATTTTATTTCATTTTTTTCTAAATACATTCATATATTTTAGTTTTGTCAATTCATGTGTCTTTTTAGGCATGTTGCTGGAAATGGATCACACTGCTCTTCATCAGCTGTTGTGTGATAATATGTTGGAAGCTGCTGTTCAAAAAGCACTATCTGCACTGGGAATTAATTCAACTGAACACAAATAGTGAGGAAATGAATCAGGATCAGCTGATGCTTTTTATGTGGTGATGAGGATATTTGTACTTTTCCGAGAAACTGTTCTATACATTACTAGATTGGTTAATTACCAAAATGGGTATAGATTTGATACAGCCATTAATAGATGACACCAACTCCAGTTTCATTGAAAGTGCTACAGAGCTTAAAAATACATTTTATTTGCATTCATTTAGTCTGTTTTATATCATATATATACACAAGTAATTCAAACATTGGTTAAAAATACAAATTTGGACAAAAATGGTCTAATTTAGAGTCTGTTCTTTTAACTTGCACAAATTTATTAAAAACTAATTATCTTGTGAACATTAATTTACTTTCACATTTGAATTCATAGTGCATCTATCTAGTCTAGTATGCAGCAATGATATCTGTCATGGATACGATTTGATAAAGCTGATCTCACACACACACACACACACACACACACAATAATGCCTGCTGATCATAAATACATCTCATTTACACACATTTGGATAGAATTGTTATGTTAAAATTAAGTTTTATCCTGATCTCTGGAAAATAGAACAGTCTTTTATCTCACATTTCACAGAGACAAAAATGAAAGTTAACTTGAACGTTTAAATAAATATCTGGGGAAAACAACATCTTTGTTATCTTTCAGCATCATTCTGTCTCCGTTAAGATTCCTTTCCATCCTTAATAGTACCACTAATTTTGGTACTATGGGACCTCTCTAGTTATCAGTTAAAGCAACTGAAAAAAATTGAGGTCTACATAAGAAAATAAAAGCAATCTTACAAACTGCCACACATACAAAGATTATGAGGACTGGTCACCTCACACAAAGGGAATATTAACCAATTAACATTTGCTCATGACAGAACAACCGTCTCTGGATGTAAAGCCCTTCAATATAACACTATGCCAGTTAAAACACAGACAATGACAGATTATGAAATGGTTTGCATTGATAAAACCACTATGTTGCAATTATGCTTCTTCAAAATAAGATTCTTAAGCGGGTCCAAGTCCATGTGCTTTGTTACTTCAGGAAAAATGTCACTGTCAACAGTTGAAAGGTCTCGTGAGAATTACTTCATCACTGGGTACTGCCGCTGACCGCCCAATCGCCCAGATCGTAGTCCACTCCCAGATGGTGCACTAGGCTAAAAAAAAGGAAACCATACATAAATATAAATACAAATTGCTGGACACATCTGGACATCTGTGACACTGGAGAACTTACTTGTGCAAACTGTGCAGGGTTGTAAAAAGGGACACCTCCTGTGGGCATAGGTCCTGAAGGAGGATGACCCTGAGCAAAAACGTTGTAAATTAATATTGCACTTAGCTGATTAATTATAGAAAATGGAAAATCAAAGGATGAAAAGCAAGGGAATTGTATTCAACACAGTTAACTGAGGCAGCATTGACAACCACTGCTGTCCATGTTTAGTAACCAACCATGCATGAATTATGAATGTTAATGAGGCTGAATGTGTTAGTCATAAAAATAAGGCAGCCTTTCTACAAACTACAAATAGTTTCTCTAAAGATTTGATAAAGTCACTTTAATGCCTATACTTTGCACATACTTAAAGTTAGTCATGCTGTAAAGGATAAGGGAGGAAGGTTCTGGAGTGGACCGGCTGCAAACTTGTAGGTGCAAATGACAAAACATGCTTTATCCATGTGTTTGTTGGGAATAATAAACATGGCGTATCTACAACACAGCATAAAGTACCTGGTTTAAATGCTGACTCACTTCACGTGATAAAGAACTCATTGAGCTAGAACGCGATAGCTAAAGAGACGTAGAAAGAAACAAACAGCACATAAAACCAGTATTAACAATCTCTCATGCATTTAAATTGCTCCTTCTACCAGCCAGTTTAACATGAACTTCAGTTAGAAAGTGATAAATTGAATTAAAAGCTATGGCATGCAATCCCAAATTCCAGTGCTTATTTTAACACTATATTCACAACAAAGCACACACCGTTACATGAAAAGCTGAATGTCTCATTAATGGCAGGATGAAACAAGCATGATATAGAGGTGAACTGCTGGATCTTACCTCTCCAGATGTGGAGCCATCAGGCACAGAAGGCATCTCCGGAGCAGGTGGTACCAGCGTAGGGTTGTACATCTAAATATTATAAAATATTGTAAATGTTAACAGTGACGAATCATTAACTTAAAAGCAAATTTCAAAATGGAAACCTGGGGAATAGTGCTGGCATTAGGTGAATTTTGTTCTTGATTGCCCCCTTCATTGCTTTCTAAAGGCTGCTGATCGTCAGGAGCTGCAAGAGATGAAATACAGTTGCTAAACAAAAGGAAACTGGCACAGACCTTATATCTAAAACATAACAATCATAATAGTATATTAAAAACTTTTTTTGTTAACAGATAGCACAGACCTGAACGAGGCACAAATAGATTAGCAGGCATGGTCATTGGGGCGAGTGGAGCAAATATATCTGCAGGGGCCGGAACTGATGCACCAGATTTGTTGGCGGTCCTGCTGGGATTCAGGACATCCACATATCTGCTCTTTGTGCCTGTTAGGGGTAAAAAAATAAAAAAAAACATCACTGTAAATAAATCTTTCAGGGAAGTCCTAGAGAGGTTTAAAGAAATGGCTGCAATTATTCAAACCTGCTTTTCGGGAGAACATGTTGACAGGAGGACCGCCACCAGGAGGAGGGATAGATGCTGCAGGACCAGGAATTGAGCACATACTCGGGAAGCCAGATGGAGGAGGTGGAGGGGGTTTTGTCTGGACAATATATTATCATTTAATTTTTTAAGGTATAATACACTGATTACAGCAAATTTACAATACAGACCTCTTCCTCAGGCTCATTCAGATCTACCCATCTTTGCTTTTTCTCATCCCACACAATCTGATAATATAAAAGCATATATAATAATTATAATAAAATGTGAATGAAATGTTCAGGCTTCCCTGCTGTTAACTTACAGATTTGTTTTTGTCATCTGGTAGATGAGCTTCAGTTTTCCCTTTCCTGTAAAGCCAGTCTAGCCAGCCTCGCCCGCCACTCTATACAAAAGGGGATCTCAAATAAAACTGTATAAAAAAAACAATAATATAAATAAAAATACATACCTTTTTGGGTGAGTCTTTTTTAGCCTTCTTCTCTTCTTTTCTAGGCTGTTCAGGAATGGGGGGCGGTGGAGGAGAGGTTTGCTTCATAACAGAGTTGCTCCTTTCTCTTCCTATCGAATGAGTAGATGATTCTGATGTTGTACGCGATCTCCTTCCTGATGACTGCAAAGTGTCAAAAAAAACAAAAACAAAACATGATACTGATTTTGGAAGAGAAATGTTAATAAGTATTTTTATGTTAGTCAAAACTATTGTGCAAAACAATACATTAAAAAATCAAACAAATATAATCAGCTCACCACATGCATTGAAGACTGAGAAGTAGTTCTGGATCTTCTTCCGGGACCCTGATGTGCAAGACATTAAAATACATAACTTTCATCTACACAGTCTAGATACAAATAGCATTTACCACTAAATATACAGACCATATGTGCCATTTGGTCATAGAAGTCCATCTGAGGAGTTAAAGAGCTTCTGGGAGGAGAGGAGGATATTGTTTGCCCTGGCTGAACAATTGGGGGCCCCTGTAAATGCTCCACAGGTTGTAAATGTGCAGGAGAGGGAGGCATCTGTGTATTAGGAGGATTCATTTGTACTGATGGTGGTGGCATTGCAGGGCTGATGTGAGTGGGCACAGGGCTAACCTGTGCTGGGCCACCTGGATACATGTCAACCTGCTCTGGCTGAGATGATTGGAATTGTGGAGGGGCATATCCAGGGTCATGTGGAGCATACCCAGGGTAAGGCATCTGTCCTGGGGGTCCCGTCGGGGGTACGGGGTAAAATTGGGGAACATCATTTGGTGGCAAGAGTTGGGGTGGGGCCATACTGTCTTGTAGAATGGATGTTGGAGCTAAAAAAAAAAAAAAGCAAGGCATTTGCATTCATTTGTAATTTTTTCAAGGGTATACAAGAGGCATGAGACATACTACTAACCTGGAGGCATAAGCTGAACGCCTTGGGCTGCAGGCCCAGGCAACAGTGAGCTCATTAAAGGGTTGTCTGGTGTATTCCCATCCAACTCCCCTTGGATGTTGTAAGGTTCAGGAGGACTGGGCTCATCCAAGTCAGAGCTTGGGCTGCTGCAATCATACTGTGCTGGTGTAGATCTGTCTGCATTGTATGTTATCATTCCAGTCTAAAAGCGTAACAAAAATAAATGTTGTGAACTCCTAAGCTACTAGTTTTTAGTATTCCCCTAGCCAAAAAGGAGGGTCTTATTTTTTTTTTTTTACTATTGTATAGGTGTTTGATCATAGTTTCTTCAATAAAATCTTCTAAAGTGAGTCAACTGAAAAAGTAAAGGAAATCAAATTTGATTAGTTGTTACCCTCATCTGCCCATCCAGTTGTCGAAGATGAATTAGCCACTCTGGCTCTTTAAATAGCTCTTGTTCTGGCTTCTCTTTCAGCTGAGGATCAAAAAATCGTAGTTTTTCGGACATCTGTTTAAAAAACAAAACAAAACAAAAAAAACCATTAACATTAACATTTCTATCACCTAATCAAGCAATAAACCATTTGTAGCAATATGATACCTGAATTAGCTGGTTGATGAATATGGGAGAGTAGTAGGAGGGCTGCATGAGGACAGTTTTTGAAATAACTTCACAGTAGTGGAAAGCCTGTGCACTCAGGCCTGCTTCAGCCAAGCGGCATGCATAGATGAACTTGTACACCTAAAATAAGAAAGCAAAAGCACATTTTTGCAAGCATATATTAAAGAATTACACAAATAATAATTAGCAATTGAATTTCACCTGGAAATTAGGTAGTGAACAGGAATGTGAGCCCAGAGACTGGGCATACTCATAGGCCTCAGTCCTCTGAATAGCATCATTGGAAGCAAACAGGTAAAACGACAAGCTGTAATAAAATGTAATTATTGTAAGAAGGCATTTCAAGATCTAAGTCACTTTTCATGTCCTTCATTTCTCACCTATGGTTGGAGCCAATAAGCACCATTTTAGTGCTCTTCTTTGTGTAAACTCCAAGACCAACTTGTGCCATTAAATAGCAGAAATGAGCAGCATCTATAAGTCCTTTAGATGCTGTGTTATGAGACAAAGCATGTGTAAGAATCAACAACCAAGATAATCCTAATATTATGAACAAGTGTTTTAGTCCTACCAAGAGTGTCACCCATTGTGGCAATAGTGCGAGTGTCAAGGTCCAGTGTATGTGTAAGATTTGATAAAACCATAGCC